ATTTTTTTTTCAGTCTCAATTTCATCGAATTCCACTGTGATCTTTATGCCGCCTTCCTTCCTTGTACTATGTTTGGATTTGAACTGTTGTTTTTCAGGATCTTGAAGCTCATCATTAGATTATTTATTTGAACTCACTCTATTTTGTTTTGTTTTGTTTATTTTGTACCAGGGATCGAACTCAGGATTTATGCTTATGGGACAGGCACAGCACCACTGAGCTAAATCCCCAGCCCACTCTCTTTTATAATGTGAACATTCATAGCAATAAACTTCCTACTTAGGACTACTCTCATCATGTCCCAAAGATTCTGCTATGCCGTATTGCATTATCACTTGATTCTAGTCCTTGATTTCTTTTATGACACTTTTTGTTCAGGAGTATACAGGTATTTGTAAAATTTCTGTTTTTTGCAATTAATTTCTAATTTCAGGGCACTATGACCTGATGTATACATAGGATATTTTGATTATTTGGTATTAATTTTTAGGCAGGTTTCATGAACCTGGTTAATGAACATGTGATCTGTTTTTATGAAAGTCCCATGTGCTACTGACAAGAATGTATATTCTATTTAGTAAAATAGAACACACTATAGGTACCTTTTAAATCCATTTGTTCAAAAATAGTTCAGCTCTGATATTTCTCTGTGAACTTTTTGTTTAGTTGCTCTGTTTGTAAAAGCTGAGTATGAAGGAAACCCATTATGATTGTGTTGATATTTATTGGCTCTGTTTTGTCCAGTAGTGTTTACTTTATTTTATTTATTTACTTTATTTGTTTGTTTTTTGAGACAGGGTCTTACTATGTAGTTCAGACTGACGTGGAACTCGCTATGTAGCCCAGGCTGGTCTTGAACTCACAAGATTCTCTGGCCTCAGCCTCCCGAGTGCTGGGATTACAGGCGTGCACAACCACAGCTGGCAAGTAGTGTTTACTTTATAAAGCTGGTTACACCAATACTCAGTGTACATTTATTTATAATTGTTATTTCTTCTTTTTGAATTATATCCTTAACTAATATGTAGTGACTTTTGCCTCTTCTGATCATTTTTTTAGTTTAAGGTTTGCTTTAAGAGTAAAATTACTGCTCCTGGTTGTTTTTTGGACCCAAGGGTGTGGAACATTGTTTTCCATTCTTTTATTATAAGTTTATGAATCTCTTTCTGGATTATAAGATTCTCCTGAATTCAGCAAAGTACTAGGTTTTGTTTTTTGATCCAGTGTGCCAGTCTGTACCTTTTAATTGGGGAATCGAAGCCATTTAAATAGAGTTATTACTGAAAAATATTGACTTATTACTGTCATTGCATTATTTCTTGTTTACTCATTTATTTTCCATTTTTTAACTACTCATCATGCCTGATGTACATTCATCAGATATTTTGGCCGTGTTAGCTTTGTCTCTGTCTAGGACAGATAGTTTTTAGGGTGCTGGTTTAGTGTCCTATGTTATGGAATGTCCTTACTTCTTAATTTTGAAAAATGATTTTGCAGGATAAATTGGTCTGGGTTGAAAGTTGTTTTGTTTTGTGTGTGTGTGTGTGTGTGTGTGTGTGTGTGAATTTTTTTTTTTTTTTAGGTCTTGAAATACTTCAAGTTCTTCTAGGTTTCAAACATTGTGTTGAAAGTCTGCTGTAATCCTAATAATTTTACACTTGCAAGTTTTTTTGGGTTTTTTTGTTTGTTTTTTGTTATTTGGATTTTGTTTTTGTTTTTTTCTTTTTTTCTGACAGCATTTAAGGTTCTGTTCATGTGCTGAACTTCTGCTATTTTGACTATGACATTATGTGAGGAGCTTCTTTTTTCATCTGTAATCCCTACTTGCATGTATATTGATTTCTTTCCCCATACTTGGAAAGTTTTCTGCAATGATATCTGTAAATAGATTTTTTTTTTTCTCATCGAGTTTATTGGTACTTTTTAAGTATACAGTACAATTACATCTATCATTCGGAGCTTGTACCATTACACAACAGATCTTGGTTCTCATATTTTCGCCATACCTCTGCCCTTCCTTCATCTCTCCTCCACCCTTCCTTATTTACAAAGATTTTGTTTCCATTTTATCATTTTCTCATATTTTTTTCTTTTCCCTTATTTCCTTTCCCCTACCCATCCCACTTCCCCTACATCTTCAGCCATTTTCTATATCACATTGTCAATTATACAATTTGGATCTTATTTACACTTTTAGTTTTTCACACCAGAGAAACTATTCGCTTGTAAATAGATATTTTAAGTTCCATGCGTGCTATTTTCTAATTTCTCTATTTTCTAATTAGCCTTAGTGTTCATCTTCTTTGTATCATCTAGTAGCTGCTGGATGAATTCTCCTTAATCTTAATTATTATTTTTAAAGTTCCTTTGAGTATATCATCATGTGTCTGTTGTTTGTATATTCAGTAGAATTTTTATCTCTGGAATTTCTGCTTGGCATGCTATCATGGAATCTGTTTGACAAATTTGTCATTCACATTTTTAATAGTTTTGATCAGCTCTTTAAATTTTTTATTTGTTTCCTCAATGAGTCAGTTTGTTAGTTCTAATGTCTTTCAAATTATGTCATCTTTGAGCTGGCCAATTTTCTTTGCTTCCTCATTAATTATTTCATACACCTCATTTATTTTTTCTTTGATTTCCTCTCCATCAGGGCAGGTTTTGCTTTGGGAGAGTTGGGAGTCTATGGAAGCATTTTGTGGTCTTGTATTTTCATGTTCGTGTGTGTGTGTGTGTGTGTGTGTGTGTGTGTGTGTGTGTGTGTACTGGGGGTTGAGGTCAAATAGAGTGAGAATCGTTGTGGGTATGAAGATTTAATTCAGCTCTGTTTTCCAGTAATGTGATCTTGGCCTTGTATATCAGGAAGTATTGTTTATAACTTCAACCTATTCAATTTAATTCGGTAGGGTCCAGTCATTTGTAAAACAGAAAATTTTTACTAGCTATAACAGCATCAATGGATTCAGTCATATATCAATCATAATCATTAAATTTGTTTTGAAAATTTTACCATTTTATCAATACCAATTACAGACTATTTTATACTGTTATTTATGTGAAAAGTGAGGGAAAAGGAAGAGGCTTTGTTAGTAGAAAGAAAAGGTGGCAAGAGAATTATTGATAGGTGCACAATAGGAGTTTCAGACTGTTGGAATTTCTAGGGTTAAGAGCTAGTGTTGGTGGGGTTGAGAGAGTATTTTGTGGAGGTAAATGGAGTTACGTAGATGGGTTGAAGTGTATTTAGAGGTTGAGGGAGGCTATGATACTATTAGAAATTGTTAATATATTTGTAGTTAGTTTTGTTTGGAGCTTCTATGTTCAATTTTGTTATCAATTATCTTGACATAATCTTGAATGGTACTAATATCTATCTATATATCTATCTATCCATCTATCTATCTATACCATATGATAGGTGAAGAGGAAGAGAGGGAAGGCAAGTTGAAAAATGAAGAAGAAAGGAGAAAAAAGAATAGAGAGGAAGAGACTAAAAATAAGAGAAAAGGATTAAAATAGACTGCAAGACATAGGAGGAAACCATAAAGAGAAAAGTAAAGCAAAATATCAAAATAACAATAAAGAAGCAAAAATCAGAAGAAAGTAAAATTACAATAAAAATAACTCAGAACAAACAAACAAGCAAGGAAACCTTAATAAAAATGTATGTTTTTAAATATTTAAATTAAAATTTAAAAATAAACTATCTTGCAGTTGTTTCAATATTAACCCAGAGCATCAACACTTAGGTCAGATTCTAATTGTAAGTGGTCAATTCTGAAAACTGCACAATTGCAGGCCTGTAGCTGAGCACTGTCACTCCATCCAGTTCCATCTCCTACTTACAAGCTGTGCTGTGGGCACAACTAACTGCAGATCTCTGTCTTGTCTCAAGATCCAGTAGCCTCAGTTGGTTTGGGAAGAAGCAAATGTAGTGTAGTTTGCCTAACTCCCATTTCTCCAGGTCTCTGTCCATTTTCACCAGGGACCTTTCACTCTCACTTTCTTCATTGTTTGCCAAAGAGTGCAGTCATCTCCATGTCTTCTCTCCAGGGGCTTTCCTTGCCTGATAAATGGCCAAAAGACCTCCAGCCCAAGCAATGCTCTCTGTTAATCCTCCCAGTCATCTATTGGTTTCTGTTTCAAGAGCTCCTTTTTCATATCCACCCATAGAACCTGGGGCAGCCCCTTGGCTCAGCAGAGGGCTTTCTCTGCCAGTGTGGGGTGTTATGTGAGTCTTCATGCCATCTCAGGGCTCTGATGTTTGGGGAAAAAATAGGAGACTACCCATACTATTCTGGATCTACCAAATCACCCCTAAACCTGAGCATCAGTCTATCTCTTCTCTCAAGATCTTCCCTGCCCACTTTCTGTTTCACATCCTTTGCACTGCCCCAGGTCTCCCTGACCTCTGCAATCCCTAGCTAGGAGGTACTGGACAAACTCATCAAGGTAGTCTACTGGAAATCATGGGTAGTACACCAAATGTTATAGAAACACAGTATTCCCCTGTATGTGGTAGAATGGTGACATTTTTTTCTGTGTTGAGCTAGCCTTGCTCTCCCCACAGGACTACTACTCACAGATGCTGCAACATCGCTGCTGTCTTTTTTAACATCACTGTTTTCAAAATCCAGATTGTGGTGCTTTGTCTCATACCTTTATCAACCACTTGGGATCTCAAAATCCCTGGACTGAATTTATCTTAATTGCTGAGCCTAGTTGGGAAGGATAGAGTAACTGTGAATCTATTTCATCAACCAGGACACTTCTGGAAGTCCATCTCCTTTCCTCAGTCCAATCCTCTCCTGAGATGGAAGGTACTCTGAGTCTGTGGTGGGGACAGGTAGCTGTGATTAAAAAGTGGACCAGCTTCCCTTCACACACACACACACACACACACACACACACACACACACACACACACACCAGACACTGGATTTCCACTTACCCTTCCATCAGAATTTATCTCATTCTTTCTTCAGAGTATTTGCTTTGTGTCAGTGTCAGTTCAGAAACGCTTATTGTTGCCAACTTAGGTAGCCATCTTCTCTCCTTCAGGAGTGGGGAAATGAAAATTTAATATTATCAGGTTCTTACATTATATGATAAATAGAGCCTGAGTACTAAAAGAGTTTAAACACAATAGTTTAAAAACTGCATACTATAACTCCTAAAGCAACTATTAGAAAAGACTTCTATGTAATGAATTAAGAAATAGACATAATTTCAGATGCCCATTTTTGAATCAGGTCTTTATATTTGGGGGGGCTGGTTTTTTTAAGTTCTTTATATATTCTAGATGATAGTCCTTTGTCTGAGGAGCAGCTGGTAAACATTTTTCCCACGTTGTAGATTGTCTCTTAGCTCTGTTGGTATTTTATCTTGCAGTGCAGAAGCTTTTTAATAAGATGAGATCATAGTTGTTGATTCTTTGTGCTCCCATGCTACTGAGGATTTGTTAAGTAAGTCTTTTTCTACGCCAGTGTCTTCAATGGTTCTGCCTAACTTATCTTCCAGCAAATTTAATGGCTATTTTTTTAATATTTAGATCTTTAATTCACTTGGATTTTAGTTTAGTGCATGGTGAAAGATAGGGGTCTAGTTTTAATCTTTGGCAGGTTGAAATCCAGTTTTTCCAACACAATTTATTAAAGACACTATCTTTCTCCACTGAGGATAGTTGGCTCCTTTGTCAAAGATGACATAGCTGAGTACATCTGGAGTTGTTTCTGTATCTTCCAATCTACTCCTCAGGTTTGTTTTTTTTTCCATTACCATACTGTTTTTATCACAGTGGCTTTGTAGTATAGTTTCAAATTGGGAATTGTTATACCACCTGCCATGTCTCTGTTGCCTGGGATGGCTTTTGCTATTCTAGGTCTCTTCTTCCAAATAAATTCTTAGTGAATTAATCTTTTTAAAAGAGTAAAATAAAAAATGAAAATAAAACCAAATGGAACAAATAGCAATCAATAAATTAATACAAAATTAAATATAAACTTACATTAAATTAAATAGTCTATATATTATAATTGTAAATAACCCAGTTATTTCTTTCCTTTAGTCTAATGCTCTCCCAACTAAGTTATTTAAGCAAAGGGTCATTTCTTTTCCTGTATAAAAATTTAAAGTTATGCAGACAAAATAGAGTAAAGTTAAAAGAATAGCAAATGTGTACCAGAATAATACAAAAAAATTATCAAATTAAAATTCCTCATCCTGCATACAATCATTTCTAGATTATTTATAATACCTAACACAATATAAATTTTGCACAAATATGTTATACTGTATGACATAGAGAATAATAACAGGAAATAACTCTGTACGTGTTCAATACAGATATAAATTTTGAGGGTTTTTTTTTTTTTTTTTGGTACCAGGGATCAAACTTGGGTCCTTACACTGTGAGGTAGGCAGCAGAACCACTGAGATAAATCCCAGGCCCTCAGATTAAAATTTTAAACATATTTTTTTATCCACAGTTGCCTGTATACAGCAGCCTTCATAAATTCAGAGGGCAAACTGTATTGTCTTATAAATTGGAAGATTTTATATTTTAAATTATCAATTCTCCCCAAATTAAGTTGAGGTAAATGTAGTTGAAAGAAAATGCCTTCAAAATTTCTCTGAGAAATTAGCACTTAATTCTTAAATTTTGCATAAAAATGTAAATAACTCATATTTTTATACATACAGAGGTACCTCAGTTCACAGACTTAATTCTTTCCACAGTTATGGTCACAAATTGAGATGGACAAGAACCAAATCAAATTTCCTCTAAGGTAAACACTGAATCTAACCATTAAATTTGATTCAGTTCTTGTCCAATTTGGTTTATGACCAGAATTGTGAAAAGAATTAAATTCATAAATCGATGTAACACTGTAATTTCCAAACCAATGTTGAAAATACAAAAATAGATTAGAGGATATTTCTGACTCTAAGACTTATTACAAGGATATAGTTCAAGACTGTGGTAAAGTGACAACAGCAAGATGGTGGGATAAGAGATATAGTCTTTTTTTACCTTGATAATTTTGGAGCTATCTGTGAAAAAAAAAATTTCTGGAATATCTCAGAACTCCATTCTAAGAAATTACAGCAGTAGAAGAAAAAAAGACATGAGACTAAAAATATATAGAAGCAAAGAAGTACAGATTCATTTTTTCTATAGTAGCCCACTCCTCAGATCAAAACTGCTCACTCAGCATAGAGAGTCTATGGTTCATGAGTCCTTCTTGAAGGCAGAGGTACAGCAGGCTGAATAAGCACCTTTTCCAACAATTTAAGGCAGTGGCCAGACGATCAATTTAAGTTTTACCTCATCTGTATTGATGGGAAGCTTGGCATAGCTGATACATCTGGACATGGATGGTAACGAAGAAGAAGGATGGGAGCTATCTCTGGCTACATAGTGAGAGTCAGCATGGTGCCTGTTTTCTCTTCTGCAAGGGATGCCAGTAGACTTCTCTGCTGAAGACTTTAACAGCCCTCATGTTGCCCCCCTACAGCTTTTACCTCTGAGGACCTATACTGTGCATCTTAGGAGTCCTCAGGTTGCTCCCCAGACCACTTCAGCAGCAAAATCTTCTCAGGAAACCACAGCCAGCACATATTTAGTGGATTTCTACCTTTGCTACCACTAGAGCAAAACCAAGAGCTACATAGCCACTATGGGTCCTCTGAATCCTTTTACATCAAATCCCCCACAGATTTTTGCCATCTATGCCTGAGCCACCACCCTGGCACCTTTACATGAAAGCCATTCCAGGTACTGCTTCCGCAGAGGCCCCTCTCCCAGAACACAACAGAGCATTCTTTATATTCACCAAATGACAGAGTCACAATCGATTTTCCTCTCACTTCACCAAAACTGCCCCAGCTGCTGCAGTCATGTGATTCCTGGCACAGATACACAGAGTGTGTGTCCACAATCAACCATAGGTTGATTGGGTCCTTAACCCTCACAGCTATGGGCCATGTGAAACCCCTGCCACCACCCGTGTAAGCAGCAAGCACAGTGTCAACTCTACTCCCACTATTGACTGTCTGATTACTTCTAGAGCAGGAGATGGCACTGATGCATCCTGCAAAGGATGCATCCCTTGCAGCCACTGCAGATCTCCCACACCTCTTGAAACCATGCCTGAGCTGATGAAACTGTGTGTCATTCTATACTTGGAGCTTTTGCACAACCTCATATTTGACTCCCTAGATCCAATAACCCAGTAAACCACAGCATCTCTCTTTGCCTTCTTCCAGTGAAGTTATTTTCTTTACAAAGTCCAACCATATAGTTTTAAAGAGGTAATGACTTTCACAAAGTGCAGGCAACTTAAAGACTACCATGATAGCAAATGAACAAGGAAACAAGGTATCAGAAAAGGAACATAATAAACTTTTCGTACCTTATCCAAACAAAAATTGGAGTTCTATGAATTATCTGAAAAAGAATTCAAATCAACCACTCTAAAGAAGTTTAACAAACTACAAGATAGCACAAATAAACAACTGAATGAAACCAGGAAAATAATACATGTACAAAGCAAGATCAGCAAAGAGGTAAACAAAAAAGAAACAAATGTAAATTTGAGAGGCAAAAGAAGTAGCAAATTCAATAGAGAGCTTCAACAGCACACTAGAAAGAAGAAGAAAGACTAGAGAAAAACAGAAGAGAGAATACTTGAAAAAAATAAGGGAAAAATCAGGAAGGCAGATGAAGACAGCTTAAAGGATCAGAGAGACATCACCAAGTGAACTCATATTTATACAAGAAGAGTTCAGCGAAAGAGAGTAAGAATGAAACAAATGCTTCTAGGAATGGATGGTAAAAACTTTCAACTCTAGATAAAGATACGAACATCCCAATATATGAAGTTGATAGGTTCCCCCATAAGATGTAATCCAAAGAAGATTTCGCCAAGACATGTTACAAAAAAGCAAAGTGAAAGTTTGAAAGCAGCATGAGAACAGAAGCACATCATGTACAAACAAATATTGAAGTGGCCTATAGTGACTTTCCCAACTGGGACTTTGCAGGCCCGTAGCATGGGATAATATTCTAAGTTGTGAAAAAGAAAAGAAACTGCCAACTAAGTGTACTTTATACCTAAAATTTAAAAGTACACTTGGAAATGGGGAAGAAAGACAGACTTCCTCTACCAATACAATGTGAGAGAGTTCATCACCTCACAAGGCATTTTAAAGGGAATCCATTGAGCTAAAACAAAAGGTTCAATTTGCTAACATGAAAGTATAAAATTCACAAGTATAGGTCATAATGAAAATATTCTAGTATGGTAATAGTGGTATCAAAATCACATATAACTCTGATATACACATTAAAAGGCAAAAGTATAAAAATAATTATAGCTATTTTAATGTATTCATAAACACATAAAAATGTAAACTATAACATCCAAATTATACAGTGTGTGGTGGAGTAGAAGCACGCAGATTTCGTATCAAAGTTATTAGTTCAAAACAGACTCATCATTAAAAGATATTTTATGTAAGTTCTGAAAATCCTCTTTTATGAGTGTCTTTAGTTGTACTCTCATGGCTGCTTCCATGTCCTGAATTAATTCAACTCATTTACTTTTATGGTCTCTTTGACTTTTGGAAAAATCCAGAGTCCTCTGGTGCAAGATATGGTGAGTAAAGTGGATGAAGACACAATGTAATGTTTTTATTGACAGAAATTGCTGAAACATAAGTGATGTGTGAAATGGAGCACTGTTATGATAAAGGATGAAACTGTTTTCACATTTCTCAGTTCATTTTCTATGCACATTGCTTCCTGAAGCTCCACTAAGCCCTTATAACATTCAGAGTCCATTGTCGTGTTTCTGGAAACAAACTCACATTGCACAATAACATTCATTCAGTAAACACACTCAACCTCACCTTGATGTGGGATCATGGGTGATGTGCTTTTTTTCACATAAGGACAATTGGATGATTTCCGCCAAAAAATCTTAACCTTAGTGATGATCATAACCACAAATCTAAGTTTCATCACCTGTGATGACATATGTTTAAAAGCTGGA